GCATAACAAAGTGGCAGCTGGAAGAATCTGATAACATTATATTAAAGATGATCTCTTGTTTACCTTTGTTAGCTGAGCAGATGATGACTAAGAAGAAGCACAATGTGGCTTAGACTGTGGATGTTGATGTCAGTAAGGTATCAGGTAGAAGCAGTGAGATGTTAGACTTGCTTGTAGAATGTGATCAGATGGAATATGTTCTGTCCCAGGAAAGGTCATGCAGAGTACTGTAGTTATTGTTGATGCCCATCTAAGGTTCCATGTGCTGTGATCTGTCTTCCTGATTGCAGTACCTGTTTTATGTCTGCGTTTCCTGTGTGCAGATCTGATCGGTCGATGTACACAGCAGTCAGTGCAGATCGGCTCTCTGTAATGTTTTTGTTCAGCTCCAGCTGATCTCCGAAGGAGGGGGGGGGGGGGGGTGGACTGTTCCAAATGAAGCACATGGACAATAATGAGAATACAAAACTCTGCGAGCAGACCCTATCCCCCACGGAGACCGTACCACATTTTTCTGTTAATAGTATGCACAGAACATGACTTTGTATCTTACACAACAGGGTATATTGTGAGAAGACAATAAAATAACAAAGAACACACACAATGGTACGCCCCGAACCGCACGTCACTTATTTACGGAAGTAATCTTCCATTGAATATAGGCTCCGCCCCCCTCCGAAGTCTGTTGCTGGGAGAAAAGCTCGATAATACTCCACGTGACCACGCCCCTTCCCAGTATTAACCCTGTACGGCAGCAAAGAGCTGGCTTGTTAAAGAGCAGCGCTGGTGTCCTGTGAGCGGGAGAGGGTTAATAATGAGAGGGGCGGGGCACAGACCATAGCCGTTGTATAGTGACAATGTCAGGGAGGAGAACACATAGGTCATGTCCCCGGGCTATTAAGAGTGCGGGCTATACCGCGGAAAGGGACCGTGTGGCGCCATCAAACCCGGGACTGCCCCAGAACTTATGTAACAACAATCCCTACATTATCATATACTGTAGTCTCCAGAGTCACGTCAATCTTTTTATTAAAGGCACACTCCACCTTCTGAAAAAGAAAAAAAAAATGCCCCCAGATTAAATGGTTCGATTACGTTTGTGTATTCAGGCCTGCAGAACATTGCAACCTTGCTTAGTGGATCACAGGTGCAAAGCTCATGCCCCTGCAGAGTGTTTCTCCTGCCCGGGTATATATGGAGGTACAGATCTTCTGTTATGTGGCTGGAGCAAGTTATCAATGGTCTACAGGTGTAGTGATGTCAGCACACATGTGTTCCATTCGTCATTGCTATGCATGATGAAGGGACCCTGTGCGGCCCCGAAAAGCGCTTGTGTTTTTGACATGAGTTTTCAATAAACCCATGATTGATTATCCTTGAAAGAACTCGGTGTGCTGGTGACATTTCTCACATTGTGTGCAATTGGCGGCGCCATTTGCAGTCATACCGCGCACCCTTTCCTGATTACTGGACTTTCCGGTAAGGAGTGCAAGAAGCCTTTTCCATCATCCATTCCGATCTATGTCCCTCTGCTGCGGTGGCAGATTGGACTTTGTAGTCTTAACTATATTCAAAAGAAAATAGAATGTCTCAGACAGAACTAAGTGTGCGTGCGGTGTTACCATAAATATGGGCATAACTTGAAACATTATTATTATTATACAGGACTTTAACAGTTTGTGCAGCACTTTACAAAGTAAAGGCAGACATCACAGTTACAATATAAAACAAGAAGACTAGAAGGGCCCTGAAAATGACAGCTTACAATCTAAAAGAGAGGGGGCAAGTGATACAAGAGGTCATTCATCTGAGGGGTGATCTGATTCAGGAAGTAGAAGTACAGATTTTGGTTAGAATAAGCTTCTCCTTAGGGATACTTTTACAGGGATCAGTTAAAGCCGGACAGAGTAGAGGATAGCCAGACAGATTGGGGTAGGGAGTTTCAGAGGATGGGTGAGATTCTGGAGATGAGCATGGGAGGAGGTAACAAGGTAGCTAGAGAGCAGGAGGTCCTAGGAGGAGTGAAGAGGGTGGTTTGGGTGATATTTTGAGATGAGGTTGGTGATGTAGCTTTGGGCAGATACAGTATGGGTGGATGGGCCATGGTCATACAGGTGAACTATTCCTTTAACCTCCCTGGCGGTCCGATTATCCCAATATTTTTTGTCTATTTTTTTATAATTTCCCGCTGGTTCCGCCCCTCTGCAACGCGGCCGCTCGCAAGGGACGGAAGACGGATGCCGGCTTCGGCCGGAGGACACAGCGCGGCTCGTAGGGAGAAGGTAAGTGAAGCGCTGTGTAATCTGAGTGTGGCTCGGGGTTACCTCTTTTGGTACTGAAAATGAACCCCGAGCCAAACTCGGGAATACCGCCAAGAGGGTTAACATAACACCTGGTGGTTCTGCCACAAGGGTCCTTGTTATAAGGTGACAATGCTCTATCTCCCAGTTGTGCTCCTGCATGGTCACCCTATCTCCAGGGATAGATTTAACTCTCCCCTCTTACTTAGCTACCTTGTTCTATATGGCCTAGGAGGAAATTCAGCTGTGCCTGTCATGCTGTCTTTTTATGGCCACTAGATGACGCTGAGGAGCATAGAAAATAAGTATTTATTTCCTAACGTCCTCAGCTCCATCTAGTGGCCATAATGTATTATTACAACAACATACTACATTCGAACTGGGCAACTCCACCTACCGGCCTTAAAGTGACACTAAAGGCTCAGTTTTTTTCTCTCTCCCCTAATGCTGCTGTAAGTACTTACCTTCTGTGATGCCTCTTGATGCGAACATCTTCTTTCCAGTCATTTCGAACTGTCCCCTCAACGCTGGTGCCACTCTTTGATCCTGTGGCGACTCCTATTCCTTCCTGTGACCCACAGAGTCTGTCCAGCATGCGTGCGATCACTGACATTGTGTCACTCCTCCTTTCTCCTCTGGTAATATCAAGTGCACATGTGCCCTCACACATCATCTCTTGCAAGGGCATGGGGGAAACTGTGTTCTGCAGCCGGGAGCGAGCGGCACAGACCCAAGTACATTTTTACTTGTTTGGCCACACTGCACTTTTTTTTTAAATGCTGGGGCTTGCTCTACTGCTTGCTAGCAGTAACTAAATGTGAGAAAAACGAGCATTTAGTACCACACCTCAGCGTATTGGAAACTCGCGTTTGCCGGGCGTTTCTTACCGCGCGGTTTTACAGCGATTTGCGTTAAAAGAAACGCTCGTCAAACGCAAGTTTCCGAGGGGCTATCCAGCTGATAACAGCGGGATACGGGCGTCAATACGCCCCAAAGAAGCTTATGTACTTCTTTGGGCGTATGGCGTTTTACCACGCGATCGAACGGGCGGTAAAACGTGCAGGTGAGAACCATGCCCATAGGCTAACATGGGTTTTCATCTGTTGCGCGTTTTACCGAGCGTAGGAACGCGCAGTAAAACGCTCAGGTTTGAACGGGGTGTAATATATTTTTACAACAATACATTAAAACTGGAAAAATATATTAAAAACAAACATTAATTTTTTGGTATTATTTTCCCAAAACAAATGTTCAGAGATATTGTTTACAAATTGACCCCCTAGTGTCTATGTTGTAGAGATGAGGAGAGGGAAAGGGATTCCGCAACAAGTGACCCCTGTGATTAGTCATCTCATAATACCAAACTGCTTGAATAAGCTCGGTACAGTATCTGAGCCATGAGTATACTGAGCCATCCAAAGACGGTTTGGTACACAGGGATTAGCAGGTGTCGGATGGCTAGTTGTAGAATGATGTCTTAAAGAGGAACTTTACCTATATCTTTAAATAACAAACACACCTTTAGAAATGTTTTAAGCATTGACATGTTTTGGTATCTATTTAATCGGCACAACCTCATCTTTTATAGTTTAATGGGTAATGTATTGTGTTTGCACACACCAAAATTACTCTTAGGCCCCATTCACACTGCGCGATTTACATTTTGCTTGAATCACAGCAAAATCGGCTCCAAAAAGGGTCCTGCTGTAGCGACGCACGACCCGCGACAGCAGGACCCTTTGACCCATTGAGAAGCATTGATGAGCGATATCGCGCGGTAAATTGCCGCGATATCGCGGGAATTACCGCGCGATAAATCGCTCAATGTGAACGGGGCCTTAGGGTACTTTTTACTAGACATGTGCGATTCGTTTTGGACTGATTCGGTATTCGGACGATTTATCAGAAAATCGCAGGTTTGGATATATCCAAATCTCCGAATGACAGAAATGACGAAAACGAATCCGAATTTTTGATCACGAAAATTTCAGAAGAAATTAGTTAGCAGTAGTCTGTACATATTTTCGTTTCTGGACGAATATTTGTTGCAGCAAACTGACATTAAACAAAATAAAAAAAAATGACTTCTTTTTTTTTAATCATCTGTAGAACTGGTAGGAATTTTAAGGGGGAACCCCACCCCCAAAAAATGGGGGAGAAAAAAAAGTGGCGTCCTCCCTAAAATTCATACAAGACCCTTGATCTGAGCACAGGCCCGGCAGGGCAGGAAAGTGGGGGGCGATGATATTACTTTTGTATTGATATCATAAGATGACATAAAAAATTGCAATTACCACTATTTTATTCTGCAGGGTCTATTCTTTCAGAGAATATACAATCAAGTAATCCTCAGACCTAAAATGTGCATTATACCAAGTGCAGAGAAAAATGGTTCTAGCAGTGAAAGGGTTAAAGGGATAAACCCTGGTGCATGCATGCTTTTATTTTGATCTGACATTCCCTTTAATATAAAATCCTTGATTAATGATGTGCCGGTAACAGATGAAGCAAACTCTATGTTGTGAAGTGTTCATACACAGGCGATCTGTCGCACACTGTAGTGGTTAGTGTAATCTTTCATATATATTATAGTCCTATGTGTTCCTTGCTGTCTTCCTCTCTTCCAGTATCACACTAGATTACAGAGCTCTCCCTATTATGTACTATGGAGGCAGTCTGTGTGTATCCGCTGTAATCTGATCGGTCCTCGCACTCACTCCTATCCTGTGTTCACAGCACGACGCTTTACAGCAGTACAGTCAAAGGAACAAGCAGCCGCTCTCTCAGACTATCTATACCCGGGGAGGTGATCGCAGTCCTCCCATTTCCCACAATGCAGCGGGG